GCTGGGCTATTTAAATGAAAACAACAGGACTTCTATTTGTAAAGAGGAAAATAGTATCAGGTACTAATTTTGTTCATGTGTCATCTGACCTATCTGTCTTTGCTTTATGGAATAAGCCACCAGACTAGGAGTTGTAAACTCAGATGCTCCTGAGGGCCAGACACAAAAAAAGATGAGTGAAGGGGGCCAGATACAAAATTACTGAAAATGGTGGGGACTGGGGCAGAATGGAGGGCTTACGCCGGGTCTCCGGCATCACTACTTAGCTGCCATGCTGGAATATGAGGTTGGTATTAGCACAACTTCCAGTTCTTCAAGAAAAGCTGGAAATTGGGATGTTTATGTGAAATTTCTGGATTTAACAAAAAACGCTATTGACAGAAAAAACCTGACAAAAATGCCAATTAGCTAACCTCGGTACTGGATTAAAACTGTGTGTGTTCAGGGCCCTGCCCCTTGTCTGTCTTTTTATAAGTTTCACCAGAATCTTGCCCAGCACCTGCATGTTGAAAAGCAGTTAGCAAATATTTGTTGAATGCTACTCAGTTTTGGGTGCTGGAATGAAAACTGAGTTTTCAACAGGGAATGACAGTTTGATAAGCTTTCCTAAGAATTTAGAATCGGGTCAGTGAAGCTCCTTTTGCTGTTTCCTGACTGGCCTTTGAGAATATCTGTGTCTCTTCTTTAAATTTCAGATATAGAGGCCAGTTTCCTGATCAGAAAGATGGAGATTGTTAATTCATTTACGAAAACACAACACAGAACTTAAAAACAGAAACTTTAAAACATAAGTCAGCATTCCTTATTTAAAAACTTCTTGTAGAGTGAAATAAGGTGTTTTCAGTGTGGTTCTGCAAATGAAGAGTGAGTATGGGAGATTTGGGAATTTAATATTTAATATTTAATAACACTTATACATGATTTTTGGGAAAACCTGACAAATAAGAAACATTTCACAAATAAGACTCTGATGCCACTACACCAATCAAATAGTGAATGTTCTGAATATATAAGTTGAGTGATAATTTATTATACGAACACACACATCACCAGAGACTGCAAATGTAGGTGTGCTGAAGGGTGTTTTGTTTTTCCTAGGGTATTTGGATTAATCTTCTCACCTGCTTTTTTGCATGGAGCTCTTGCATGGAGTGTTATAACTGGGACAGGAGCAGATGGAAGAACTGCCTACTTGTATAAAGGATTGCATCCTGAAGACCCCATTGTGTTATAGGACAGCAGGCCACAACCACTGGTCAGGGCATGCTGGTCAAAGGCTGTCCCCCAATTTAACTTCCCATCCACGGTCCACCATTAAGTCTTTCCTGTTCACTTTTCAGTAAGCAGCCAGTGAGGAAGCAGGACACAAATGAAATGTAAATGCTCATGAGATATGGGTATAACTGCTCATGAGCTGACCTCAGTAAGAAGGTGGTGTCGAAGGAGGGACCTTGTGGCCTTGGGCTCTTTATTACCCTTCTTTATTGCTAGGGCAAACATCTCCAATGCAGGCTTAGTAGATGGGACTTTTCTTATACAATTCACTTGACCTCCCAGACCAAATAAATAACAGCAGTAGCTACTGTTTGCTTACAGCTGACTCTCTGCTAGGTATTTTCCATTTCCTTTGCTTTGTTCAACCACCCTTTTGTCAACCAGGGAGTTGCTGAGAGGGCAAAGCCATCATCATATAACGTAAGAGCGGTATTACCAGGTCATGTGTCCTGTGTGTACCTGGCACATACCTGTACCTACTGGCCTTTTTTCCTTTTCCTGTTTTCGTAGTCTAACAGCATATAACTCCTGAAGGCATGGACACATAGGGATATGCCTTTCTGTGTCTCTGTGACAGTTACCTTGTTACTACGTATATAGTGGATGCTTAAAAATGTTGGAGATTCTTTGCAATGATTTTTGTGGTTACTGAACTCTTTAGGGTGAAAAGAATCCAGTCTTGCCAGACTAGAATGATCTCAGCATGAACTAGCAGTTGCTGAGTCGATAGTCTATTTGCCTGGCCTTGTGTGCTGCCCATGGTGGGTAAAAAAGAAATAAAAGACTTGCCCTCTCCTTTTGGGGATCTGGTGATCTGCCTTTAGACATGGGTAAGAAACACCCCAACCATGGACTCTGTGGGTTAGAGGACTGCCTCTGATGTCACTCTGGCCATGCCTCCCACCCCACTGCAAGAATCTGTGGGACTCAAAGCCACATGTACCCTCTTCAAGACCACGTTCTGGGTATTCAGGGGCTGAAATTCCCTACTCACTCATCCCCAAGACCACTTCCAGGGCCTGCACAGGTATCGTCCAGGGCCTGACACTTGGGCATGAGCAGGCTTCCAGGTACCTATCCCCAGGCCTGCAGGTGACAGCTGCTTACAGGATGTGGGTGGGAGGAGCTTGGAGAAAGCAGCCTGGGGCATCCACAGGGAATGGTTGAAGGCAGGTTGGTGTGGGATGGAGCAGGGTAGCAGAGAAGGTACTGGATCTCCACCACATTCCGATACGGAATGGCCAGGTGCCCAGAACTCGAAATTCAAGGCTGGATCTGCAAGGCATTTGGAAGCCACATTTGTCCAGATAGGGGGCATAACACTTTTTCATTTAAGAGCTTATCAGGTTGATTGGAACCTCCCTGTGGGAGGTGGGCCTCCATTGTGAACTCTTGTTCCAGACTTTACAGTGTCAGGGGCAGGCCCTGCTGGGCCATCAGCTTCCCTCACACCTGCACAGGTCGGCCAGCAGAGTGCATGCCCAGAATGCCCAAGGCTTGGTGGAGGGGTTTCTGTGCCTCAAGGCTGTTGGGGAGAGAATGGGAGAGGGCCCTGCCTCTCTAAACTTTCTGTGAAATCACCAGGGCTCATTTGCATACCACCACTTTGCTCTTGGTGGCTGGGGAAGTGCTAAACCTATCTCTATTAACAAATACCATATTGCCTTGTTTCCTTCCTTACTTAAAACACTTTAGAGTGCTTTTGCTCAAGTTGAGCGGCTCTACACGTGCAAATGCATAATCAGCTGACAGCAATTTCAAAATTGCAGGTCCCGCTGCCGATGGAAAAATGGGAGCGTTGTTATTCCTTGTGCGTAATTTTCACCAAGAAATGGGGGGCTGAATTTAATGTCAACACTTAGAAATTTAATGTGGCCCTATTGCTGGAAAAATATACCTTTAGCCAAACCCTGCCTTAAAACAGTGTCTACATTGTCTTGCTGCACCCCTCACCCCCATTTCCCATTCCTGAGAAAAAATGGGCTTGAAAGAGGGTTCAGCTCAGTACGGGGCTGGATCCTGCCTTCCGTCTCCATTTCCTGGGCACAGACGGCTCATCAGCGGAGCCTGCCTCTGCCTGGAGGGAACCCACCACCTCTGTTTCTTGAGGAAATTGGGTGGGAAGGAGTTAGGGGGGAGAACAGGAATGGAAGAATAGGGTGGGGGTTTTTAGGCTCTTGTGTCCAACCCAGCTGGGAGATGGGGGCGGCAGGGGGTTCCTTCAAAGCATTAGGTCACTGTGCGGCGCCCTTGCCCAATTTGCCCTCACTGCCTCAAAAAGGCTTCCTGGCGTGTGTTTCAAATGAAAAGAAATTCAATTTGATTTGATTTTAAAAATGCAGAGTGTGCCTGGGAGTGGTGGCTCACGCCTGTAATCCCAGCACTTTGGGAGGCTGAGGTGGGCGGATCATAAGGTCAGAAGATGGAGGCCATCTTGGCTAACATGGTGAAACCTGTCTCTACTAAAAATAAAAAAAAAAAAAAGAAAAAAGGGGATATCAGGACTCCCTTTGAGATGGATAATTGGTGCTACTCTGTGTGGTTAATAGAAACCAAAGTGGTTACTCTTTGGGGACTAGCAGAAAAACCAAGGCTTACTGGGAAATTGGCATTGGCCACATATGTTTCCTCTAGCTATTAGTAATTTGTCCCTCAAATCAAGTCCAATGAAACTAATGAGTTAAGCATCTGCTTTTAACTTCTTCCCACTGAACTGCCTGGCAGGTACCTCCTTTTTCTCTGGGGAGCCATTGCTTGGATGCACACACATGTTAAAACCAGGTTTCATGGGTTTGCTCTGAACCATGCCCTCACACTCCTCCAGCCGACACCAACCATGAGTAAAACTGGTCAACAGTGTCAAGACTTCTATATAGCGCGGCTCCTCTTGAGGCTGACTCCACCTTCAGCTGCACGGCTGGGGCTCTCGCCCGCCTCTCAGAGGGTATGGAGTGCTCCTTCTGATGTTTGTGTCTTTGAGGAAGCAACTTGCAGAGGCCAGGGTGCATCTCTAATGACTGTTCTCATTAGCACAGACTGTAAGCCCTGTTGTGCACACGGAAGAAACTCAGTTCAAGACCCAGGGATGGCCTCAGGCTACGGGGTAGGCAGGTGGTCTGCTTAGGGCGAAGACCCAGACCAGCATGTAGGTTGTCCCAAATGCCCTTGGCACAGGAAGAAAAACTTCTGGACAGGGTGCTATAGTTATTTTTAATTTTTTCTTGGCTTTCCATGGGGGTGAGGTGGAGGCCCAGGTGGTACTTCCAGAGCCAAGGAGCAAAACCTGCCCTGGAGGGGCTACGCCAGCCACGGTTTGGTCTCAAAGAGACTGAAAGCCCACCCCTGTGCACAGAGCGCTGAGCCCCAGGGCGTTCAGGCCACACCTGCAGCCGGTGTCTGGGTGAGGCTGAGGGCCTTGAAAGGGCAGGCACACATGCCCAGGTGCCTGCTGGGCTCCGAGAAGGCTGGCTGCTGCCCAGCTGCCCAGACCCTCCATGTCCTTCCATGCCCTCAGTCCCAACTCTCTTCCTGGGGTTGCGGGGAGCAGAGGGTGCATGCACAGTTCCCACCAGAACCTTCCTAAGACCCAGAGCTGTAGCAGGGAGGGCATGAACACCAGTTTCTGAGACCTTCTCAGCCAGGTGGCAGTTCTCGCTCCACACCCTTGGGGCCCCCTGAGTAGGGAGGCCTGGTGTGCTCACCTAACATTACCCTGTGCTTTGCAGACGGACTGTGCCCTATGGACTGGCCAACAACAAAGGAAGGTTGAGGGGCAAGAGGTCTGCGGGGCTGCTTCCGGGGAGCCTGCCACTCTCACAGCGGCCGCACTTGCGCTGCACTTGTGCGGGGAAATATGACAAGGCCTGCCTGCACTTTTGCACCCAAACTCTGGACGTCAGCAGGTATGACACCTCCTCTAGTTTCACTCATTTGCAGACGTGAATCAACCCTTGACATGGCCAGGCCAGGGGCTTCTAGAAGGAGCGTGTAGGATGGTTCAGTCACAGCCTGACCACTGTCACCCTGTGGGCCAGAGAAAAGAGGTGCTGAGCCCAGAAAAGACCCAGGTACCCAGCATCAGGAGGGCAGGAGACGCAGTGTCCCCGCCTACTCGCTGCCTCTCGGAGCAGAGGCTTTATCGTGGCCGTGGCTGAGTCTGCTCTCCAGACATACTGTTTTCCTGGCCTGCACAGCACACTGTGAAAATCTGAATAAGTTGCCAACACTTAAAAGATGGAAGAATTAACCCCCACCGAATACATATTTTTAGCCTTTCTGAAAACAGCACATGATAAGAGCGCAAAAGGTTTATTGCGGGAAAAAAAAACAGCACATAGGACCATGTGGCCTCAGAGTCCCCCCATTGCTTTGACCACTATTGGCTGGAACTGAGTGGGGGCATCTCACGTTTGAGTAGGATGTTTAATATCCATTTACCTGTGTTACTCATTTATCTTACTTTGTGGCCCTTGGAGGCCCCCAGGTTTGAGACCCTGTGGTCTGTCCTGGCTGCTTTAGGGAGGCTTGTCAATCATGTCGAATGGAACCAACAAGCAGACCCCATGTTTGAGCCAGGAGCTTTGAGCTGGTATTCACTGAACAGGTATTCCTGTTAATGCTTCTTACTCCTCTCTTTCTTAACTTTGGGCCAAGATTCATGAACGCAGCCAGGCAGAGCAGCCCTTTCAAAACCCTTCCTGGAGCAGGCGGAGGTGAGCTGCCCCGATGCGCACAAAAGAGATATAGACAGGGGTGGGCTCCCAACAAGGCAGACACCATAGTGCGCAGGACCTCAGGGTCTGCAGTCTGCGAAACCCAGTGTGAACTGCGTTTTTTTTTTCCTTCTTCTGGGCTTTTAAACATCCGATGAATAACTGAGTGGTGAGTATATTCTGTACTTTGGTAGAAATCCACCCACCGAGCGCTCAGCCTTCAGAAACTGTGCCTGAGACACAGTCCTTGGGGAACGCACTAATGTGCTCGTTGGTGGAGAAGAGGAAGTCATAATCTGACACCGAAAAACCAGCCACATGAAAAGCCAGCTTGATTCATTAAAACCAGCTCTCTCCCCACAGTAATTCAAGTACAGCTGAAAAAACAGACAAAGAAGAGGAAGGGAAGGTGAGAGGTGCCAACAGAGGCCTGTGTCAAAGGAGGTGAAGATGTGACGTGTCATTCCTTCTTGAGGGGGAGAGTGTTTTGAGGGGGTGGCATTTGGTCTAGTCCAGTGGGGACCCCAGATCTCATGGGATGCTGTACCCACAGGCAGTGGTGCCTTTGGTGGACCGTCTCTGGGGGCAGAGCAGGCTGAAGCTGTGGACGGTCGTGATCACTTGCCTGGCCCTGGCCACCCTGCTCTGTGTCCTGGGAACCAGCCCTTGCATCCCTCGTAGCTCTGGGCAGTGACATCCTGCTTGGATTTCACCTGGCTTGGAGAAAGCTGGCCTACCACCGCTCTCAGAGGCCCCACAGGCTGCTCTACCCAGGCTTATGCTTCACCTCTGCTTCCTTAGCAACATGTGGTCTTTCTCCTCAAAAAAAATCATTTCTTCCTTTCAGCAGCTGATTCTGGACAGAGGTGAATCACAGCAGCTTGGCAGCAGGCCCCTTGGTTCTCCAATTCATTTTATTATTTTTTTTAACCCACTTGTGTTTTTCATATGAGAGATCCTGAGGATTTCCTGCAACCAGACTGTTTTTCTTAGTCCTTCTATCAATCAGAAGTTGTTATTAATGACTCAGCCGCACATCTGCAATGGGATGGGAATTTATGTTCAAAATAACGGCCTGGAGGTGGCTTGGGTTTCTACAGGGACTGATCAAGGGAAGATGAAACCATGCTCAGTATACAGGAGGCTTTCCAAATTGGTGGCAGATCGCTTCCAGTCTAGTCCAGAGAGGGATCTGTCAGCATCCATAATAAAAATGCAGCAGGAGGAGGAGGGCCGAGGTGGCAGAGACAGAGCCTGGGAGAGCATGAGTCAGACCCAGATGGTCCCACTTTGCCTCTTCATTCTTTTTCCTCTTTTTCTCTTCCTCACCCCAAACCAAAGCTCCTCTCAGTGAGGGCGGGATGTAATTAAACCCATCCATCCATTGCATCATTTATTCATTCACTTATGCATTCGTTCAGCAAAGACTTGTTGAGCACCTGCTAGGGGCTGGGCACCATTCTGGATGTTGGGGACACAGCAGGAGCAAGGCACAGGATCTCTTTTATGGAGCTTAACTAGTGGGGGATGCAGACGGCAAACAAGTATGTACAATATAAAGTGAGATTGCAAAGGATAACAAAGGCACAGCAAGGGTAGGGAGTGTGGGGTGGTTGTGATTCGAGATGGGGTTGATGCAGCCTCGTCTTGAAAGGTGTTCTTCCAGGTCTCTATGACTCATGTAAAGCTCTTGTAAGAAGCTTTACTTGGGAAGAAAAAGTCTTTTATGAAGCCAATGTTCTTGCTTTCCTACAAGCTTCAAGTTAGTAATTCCCAGACTCTTATTCACAGAGTGGAAGCTGCCGCCATCCTTAGCTTGTGATAATCAAAGATGGGGCCAGGCAGCGGGAGGGCTCCTAGCAGCCGTGTCTGCTGCTGTTTTTCTTTTCACGCCTTTCCAGTCTGGTGGTAGGCTCGGGAATTGCTGAGAAGCACTGGCAAGAGGGTACGTACAGTTCCAATCAGGGAACAGGCTGGAGAGGCAGTGGGAAGACGTTCCATTTTCAGTTTCACAGAGCTACACTTTCATAACACACCTTCTTTTTTCTTTTGCCTCCTTTCCCCAAGATAGGTTGAAGTCAAGGACAGACAAAGCAAGCAGGCTTTAGACCTCCACCATCCAAAGCTCGTGCCCAGCAGTGGACTCGCCCTCGCTCCGCCTACCTGCCCCCGCTGCCTCTTTCAGCAAGGAGCCCCTTAGGAGGACAGGCCTGCAGCATCCTCGTCTCGCGAGGTTTCTCTCATTGCTCGCACACAGTTCAGATTTCCACCTCTTTGTGGACAAGAAGTGAATTTGCCTGGGGCAGGAAACCCACCCAAAGAGTCTCCACTTAACAATACCCCCTACTACAAGAATGCCCAAATCCAAATGACCCCAGTTTTCCTAATGGGTAAAATGATCCCAGATGTGCTCCAGACCATGACGCCCGCGGCTCCGGTTTCATGCAGGAAATTGTGTTTGAGAGGTTTGGCAAGCTGAAAGCCACTTACTGGCTTTTGACATGACTTCTCTTGCAGAATAAGTGGACTCCAAAGCTAACTCTCTGCAAATGTAAACATGTGTCCATTTTGTAACAAATGCAAAATGCCCATGCAGCAGGGGCATGTGACTTTCATATCCTGAAAGTCAGACCTAGAATAGGCCGCATGGCATAAGTCAGTGAGGGACACGACGCGTCGGCTTTAGACACGGATCATAGCTGTACAGGAGTTTATGAATTTGAAGCTTATGGGATTTAGGCAGAGAAATTTTCAGCTGTGCTTGATACCCACCAAAAGAATGTATCTTGAAAGAAGGAAGAAAGAAGAAAAAAGGCACCTTGATGTTTGTGATGAGAAAAGGAGAAAGTATCTGCAACATGGAGCTTTTCTTGTTCACTGACTGACCTTCCGTATTCTTTGTAGACACTGGACGGATACACAATGGAGTTCCCAGGCCTTGTTTGCAGGAAGCCGACTGTAAAGACAGCCCCAGCTCAAGGCTATTAGGTTGAATATTTGCTTTCATGAATAAATGTGGATCTTTGGGAAATGGCTTCAAAATAAGCCACGAACACAAATTCTTTGTAAATTATGTAAATTCCTATTTATCTTTATAATTGGCAACAACTGGGAATTGTATTGCCTGACAGTTCAAAATCTCTTTCAGCTGCACTCGTCCTGCCAAGCTGAGCTTACTGTGAGTGTGGAAATGTGACTCTGCCATGTGAAGTCGCCTGCGCAGGGGAGAGGCTGCCCATCTCCCCACCCAGCTGCAGAGATAGGAACCGGCATTTGAGTGTGTGTCCAGGGCCCCGTATGGAGACATTTAAGATGGTGTATGACAGAGCATTGGCTTTGACCAAATGTTAAGTTCTCTATGTGTATTTCATAAGTTATTACAGGTATAAAAGTGATGACTTATCATGAGGAAATGAAAGTCGCTGATTTGCTGGTAGAATTTTGTACAGTTTAGAGAAGCAATTATTTATTGTGAAACTGTTCTCCAACTCCTTCATGTGGATCTGTTCAGAGTAGTCACTGTATATATGTACAGACAGGTAGATCGGTAGGTAGGTTTTAAATCGTGTCCTGAATCCAAAATCATATTCCTTAGAGCTTAAATTACATTTGAAAAAAAATGCATATGCGCTGTTTGGCACCGTGGCAAGATGGCATCTCAGAGAAACTCATTCATTGCTTGAACACTCAGAAAATGCTGTCAAAAGCATAATAAAAAATCTAAAAATTTGCTCTGATTTGTGGTTTTTTCCCTCACCATCTTTATATGCATGGTTGAGCATCAACTTTTCATGGACCTCTGGAGAGGACAGGAAGGAGTTGTGTTTTGGGAAGCAGAATCCATCTAAAGCCAATTATGGAGCTAGATGAGGGGCTGCCTGAATATTAAGGAAGAAGTGGGGTTTGGGACCATTCCAAGAACATAAAACATTCACAGCAGTAAGGGAGAGAGAAACCTGGGGAGAGAGCTGGTTTTTCCCCCAGCACCCTCCTGCCTCTCTAGCAATGGGGAGACTTCCTTGTTGCCCTAACAGAGATTGCTGTGCAGCCCAGGAGTCTAGGGAGAGGGCGCTGCTGGGGGCTCGGGAGTCTAGGGAGAGGGCGCTGCTGGGGGCTCGGGAGTCTAGGGAGAGGGCGCTGCTGGGGGCTCGGGAGTCTAGGGAGAGGGCGCTGCTGGGGGCTCGGGAGTCTAGGGAGACGCTGTGGCTGCTCGGAGTTCTTGACAAACAGAAGGCAGAAATGATCACAACTGCAAACCTTTAAGGCTTGTTAGAGAAGATTGGGGATACTTGGAAGGAGTGTGGTTTTCTTCATTTTCTTTCTTTCTTCCTTTCCTAACTTCCCCAGCTGCCTTTTGAATCAAGAATCAGAGACCACTGGAAGCAGGGAATTGGACAAAGGTCCAGCCAAAGAGCAAAGAGAAATGGAAGAAGAGCAGTAGTTTTGATGGATAGCTGATCTGAGAAAATGCAAGAGCCTCTTGTTTTAATTAAACTTCTTTTAGAGAGTTTTGACTTTGATGTATTGAGATAGTGTGGTGCTCATTCATTCTGCAGGACGTAGAGCAGCACACAGCAGGAGCTGCTGCGTTCACTGGAGGCACTAACCGGACCTGGGGTACAGGAGCCTGCCCAGGTGCCACGGAGGCCCCAAGCAGAGGACAGCCAAGGACTTCTGGGAGTCATGGGCACTCCGAGGCCCAGATGTGGCAGGCTTTTTTGGCATCTGGGTGGAGGAATGGAGGGGCAGGATGGAGTTGTGAGCAGTTTTGGCTACAGAAATTGTAGAGCCCCTGGCTTAGAAGGAGTAAGAACTTCAGATGGCGTATTAAACCATGAGTGTCAAGCCTTCTGAGCATGGAATCCTGTTTACCTGGGAAGATTGCCAGCAGATTAAGCCCAGAAAAAAGCTGTTGAGCCTGGAGACCTGGATTTGACACCACCCTCTCCAGGCAAACCAGCCTTAAGCTCTCCAGCGTCAGTTTCTTTCTTTTTTCTTTTCTTCTTTTTGAGACAGGGTCTTATCCTGTTGCCCAGGCTGGGGTGCACTTGCACATTCACAGCTAATTGCAGCCTCGAACTCCTAAGCTCAAGCCACCCTCCCACCTTTGCCTGCTGAGTAGCTGGGACTACAGGCATGCACCATTCCACCCAGCTTTTTTTTTTTTTTTTTTTTTTTTTTTTTTTTTTTTTTTTTTTTTTTTCCTGGGGTGGTCTTGAACTCCTGGGCTTAAGCGATCCTCCTGCCTCTGCCTCCCTCAGTGCTGAGATTACAGGCATGAGCCACTATGCCCACACGTCACAGCCTGTTTCTTCATTCATGAAATGGGTGTGGTAATGGCGCTGCCAACTTCATGGCAGTATCAAGGGGTCAAGTCTTCAAGCTTTGCCCTGAAGTAGCCACCACCTTCTTGTTTTAACTAGAAATTTCTCATGGAGGCACATTTTTGAATTTATAATATACCTCAAAGTAATACAATTTGATTTATGGAAATTGTAAGATTTATTCTCTGTAAGGTTTATTGCCGAGTTTAAAATGAGGAAACTGAGGCCTGCATGAGAACAATTAGATGCCAATTTATTTGGCTCGGGGGCAAGGTTCTATCGTCCAGGGAAAGGGGGCCAGAGAAATCATGCCTGACCTCTCTCAGGCCTGGGGTTATATAGGGAGGGAAGGCGCTCTGATTGGCTGTGGAGAAACAGGAAGTGGATGTGGCAAGCTGCTATAGGTAGGGTGGCGGGGATGGGGTAAGGCACTATTGGGCAGGTTTTGGCGGGAATTCTTTTAAATTTTGGTGGGGTTTTCCAACAACTGGCTAGGTGCCGAGTGCAGAGTTTAGTGTCGAGTGTAGATCCTGGTGCTGAGTGCAGAGGGGATTTCCAATGGCAGGCTAGGTGCCGAGTGCAGAGTTTGGTGTTGAGTGCAGAGGTGGGCATGGCAAAGCTAGATGCTGAGTGCAGATTCTGGTGGCGTAATTTTCAGGCGTGAAGAGGGATGGGCATGTCCGAGCTCCAGGTGAGGCAACCGGCCTTACAGAAATTGTCAGGATAGTTAATTTTCTGTCCCCTGGAAGACATATGCTCTTCAAATCCCAAAATTCTTATATGGAAATTCTTAAGAATCTAAAAACATAAGCAAATCAAGTTACCTGTTATTGAGACCATTATAAGTCTGCTTGGCTCCTTCCATCACTGAATATGCAATTTCTTTTTTATCTGCTGGCAGGGAATTCTCAGAATTGTTGAGATCTTGGTGGTATCTAGTGTGAGGAGACTGTAAGAATTAGTTCCCTGTCAGAGGCCAGAATGAATCAACACAACCACCCTTCTGCTAGAGGTGTCTCATTAATCCTTCCAGCATTCCAGAACCATGTACAGAGTAAACGACAAAAAGTTGGGTGATAAATGGAAGAGAAAGAGGGATTAGGAATTCATGGCAGAGAAAAAGAATCCCATGAGACAGGGAAGGCATCCAGCGAACCTGAACTTGCCCCCTTTCCTCTCTGCCTTCCTCCTTCCCTTTTCCTTTCCTCCTCTTCTCTCCCATCTCCTCCTCCATCCTTAGTTGAACAACCTCCATCATGGAACTACCTTATGTAAATACCTACTTATCTATATGATTGGCAAGAACCTTCAGGATCAAGTCTGGCTCTAGGGGGTTGCACCATCGGCAGGACCATTGGACCTTTTCAAGGTCTTGCTTTTTGCTTATTTCATGAAGGGGTGCACTCGAAAAGGGTCCCTACCTCCTCCTCTACTTTCACCTGCATAGCAAATGTCCCCTTTGGATATTCTGGTGTTAGATTAACATTAGCCCCAGAAAGGGGGTAGAGGTAGAAAAAAAAACCCAAAACCCCTTCTGAACAGAGAGATAAGTCTCTAGCATGCTGCCAAATAGAAGGCACTCAATTGATGTGTAATAATTCTGTATATAAAGAGATGAAATGGAACTGTAGCAAGACAGTGAGTATTGGCCCAGTCTGGGGGTGGTAGGAAGACTTCTTGGAGGGGATGAGTAAGAGTCAGCCAAGCCAAGCAATGCAAGAAGGACATCTAGGTAAAGGGATGAGCTTTGTTCCTGAGCAATGGCTTGGAGAAGAAGGCAGCAGAGCTCTGCGCTCAAGGAAAGCCGACACGCTCAGGATCTTGGGAACAACAGGTGAGAGGCAGGGCCCAGTGGGAGGAGGGAAGATGTAGACTGAAAGCCAGAGCCACAAGGAATGGATGACCAGGGTCACGACACAAGGAACTGAAGCCAACCTGTGACCTTTGAGCCATCTTGCATGCCTTGCAAGGGCAGGGTTCAAACAAGCTCCTTGTCTGAAACGAATGTGAATCAGAGTGAACTGACTTGTCTATGTGGAGATAGGTTCTTCGTTTTGCTATTTTTAGACACTCCCCTATACTACTACGCCTCCTGACATTCTTCCCAGCACCATCTTGCAGAAAACTGGAACGACCATCTAGCTGAACCCTCAAAAAGGCTTTCGTCCTCTGGGGCCAGGAACCTGACTTTCTTCATCTCACCATGGGTTGAGTCTGCTACACACAGAAGATGTTTATCACACACGTGTTGAATGAACAAACACACGTAAACAAGCATTGAATCTATAGAATGGAGATTGGCACAATTATACTACTTTACTATCAGTAAATATTTTATAATTTTTATAAATATTAAGAGATTTTTGGCTTTATGGGCTGCATGGTGTCTGTCACAGCTGCTCTGCCCTTGTACCTGGAAAAAGGCCACAGGTAATGTGAACATAAACAGGCGGAATCCTGTTTCATTAAACCTCATTTACAAAAAGGGTCAGTGGTCAGTGGGCCAGGCTTGACTGTGGGCTGTAGTTCGCCAGCCTCTGCCAGGGGTAGTGAATCCTCTATGTCTTTGTCTTTCTGCAAATATCTTTATTTTGAAATTTGTAAATGACGGTTTTTCTGGGGTTAGAATTTTAAGTTGACAGTAGTAGCCCCTTAGTTGGAGGATGTTATTTCATTGTCTTTGGAGGTCAGTTATTGCTGGTTAGAAATTTTCTCTAAGACCAATCACTCTTCCTTCACGGGTTAATTTCTGGTGATTTGAATGTTTTTCTCTTTATCCTAGACATTCTGCAGTTTCAGTATAAGGTGTGTAGGCAGGGTTCTTTCCACTTAATTCATACCAATTAGAATTGGTTTGACTTTTCAACTGAAGGACCTCTCTCTCCCACTTGTTTCTGGAAGACTTAGCGTTCTCCTCCGGTACTGGCACTCCACTGTTCCCTGGCATCTCTGGAGTACCTGTTTAAACTTTACTTAAAGGGCTTGTTCTCTCCATTTCTCCTTTGCCTGCATATTTTGATATTTGATTTTTTCCCCTATTTCTGAGTCTGAGTTTAGGTTGAACACCCGGGGTTGTCATTAGAGACTGCTGTGGATTATGGAGCGGCACATTGCTCTGGAAAGCTTGTTCCTGACTGTCGGTCAATCCACAGTAGTTCCTAGGACCTCTCCTTGCACCAGGTGTGTGTGAGGCGCCCAGAACACACACAAATAAGTCTCCAATTTGTTCGAAGTGTATGACATCTTTTTAAGCCCTCAACATAATTCCATGATGTCTGTATTCTCTGTGTCCTCATTTTACCGATTATGAGGAAAACCGGGGCACAGAGTGGTTACCAGCCTGTGGCCACATAGCTAGGAATTGGTCCTCATCTGAACCAATTCATGCTCACCTGAACATCATGCTCACCTGC